TATACACAACTTCCTTCGACGGGCTAGAGTTGCCGACGAGGTGTTCGCAGCTGCAGAGTCGGATCCGGACGCGGCAGAGGTAGAACTTCCAGATGAACAGGAGGAAGCCGCTGCTGAAATGAATGCACCAGAAATGCAACGCAATGAGTGTGATCGTTTTCGAGATTACTTGGCTTAAAACCAGTAATGTATCTGTTTGTATAACAACGCTGTTATCCTGCAATAATTGTGTCCATGGTCGTTTGAATTTTTTGTCGGTTGAAAATGTATTAATTGGTACGTTGAATTTGGAAAATGAAAAAAATTTGTTCCGTCAAAATTTATGTTATTGGCACGTTGAATCAGAATTGATAAAATAAATAATTCATAAAATATCCTATCCATGGTCCTTTGAATTTTTTGTCGGTTGAAAATGTATTAATTGGCACGTTGAATTTGGAAAATGAAAACAATTTGTTCCGTGAAAAATTTATGTTATTGGTTTTGTTGAATCAGAATTGATAAGAAAAAGAATTCATAAAATATTGGTGTTGATGGGCCTAGACATGAAAAATTCAAAGGATGCATGTTGGTCAAATTTGTACTCATTTGAGGTCAGAGAAATGTTTAAAATAAGCAGTGGAGGATAATTTGGTAATTGAATGCCAAGAATTCTTATTGCCGTGCAAGACTCAGCTTCCAGTGGGCCCGGTTTGATGGGACAAGAAAATTGATTTTTCACTCCACAATTGCGCCCAGACATGCTCTAAATTGCAAATGTCATGACAATTATATAATTCTAATGTTGCCTATATGTTTCTCCATTAGAGGGAACCTTTCGTGATTAGCGATTTCTAAATTGTAACTTAACATTGCGGAGCAAATTCTCTTCAACTAAAACTTGTTTTGAAGCTGACCAGATCCAATTCTCTCAGCCATATTGGATTGGAATGGAATGGGACATTGAAGAGGAGTTGAAAAAGTATGAAACAAGCATGGCGCTTGTTAAAATAATACTGTTAAATTCACATTTCTAAACATTCAAAAATGTTTGTGTGTCATTGATAAACTAAAATTGCATGCTTATAAATCTAGAATCTCTATTATCATTCAATATTCCTATATTTAATTCGGAGAAATTATAAATCTTTGTAGATATAGTAAATATGTGACGATAATGAAAAACTTGATTATGCTATAAAGTTTGATTGAGTATTCCTTATGTCTAGCATGTTGATATTCTTAACTTGTGATATTTCAAAG